AATTTGCCGCTGCGTTCGATTCCTTTAATCGTGGCAAATAATGGAACTAGGTGTTATTTCGACGAAGACCATCGTCATGATCAGGGCCTACTGCTGCTTCATCCCTGCGCGAGTTCTGGTCCACAACAGTCTTTCCGAACCGTTCGTTATTCGGTCTGGTGTTCGACAAAGTTGCATCCTTTCACCCATTCTGTACAGATACGCCGTTGAGTGGATTTTTGGGAAGAGCCTTACATGATTTTGACTTTTTTTTTCAGTTTGCACCCGGATGCCGACTGGCTGAGCTAGACTACGTTGATGATATCATCACAATAGCGTCAAACTTTGATGATCTACAGTCTATGGTACCACGAGTGGATGGAGTCGCTACTTTGGTCGGTTTATCTATGAACGCTGGGAAGACCAAATTTTTTTGAACTGCATCCCTGCCAAAGAGAAGGCACCTCTCGGGATTAATAGTTGTTAACCTGAAGAAGTCAACAGTTTCAAATACTTCCGCTGTCCAATGGGTAGAGTAAGGGTGACGTTGTCTCCTTAATCAATTCTGTACGCAGGGCCTTTTTCAGTCCTTAGAAAGTACTTATGAACCCGACGCGACGGTTTCATAACCACAAAGGCGCCGTGTACCGTGTATCCGTCCGGGCAGTCCTTCCTTATGATGGTGAATGTCGAACTTTACGCCCGGAATGTAAACGAAGACTATAGGTATTTGCCTACCGCTGCCCGGAGACCATCCTGCGGTCGAAGTACACCGGCTTCGTCTTAAATGAGGCAGTTCGCACTCTCTGCGACAATATCTTGAAGATATCGCCAACCACCTAAGAAATATGATTGAGCTGGATTGGGCACGATATCCGTCGACCGCCTTATACTACCATTGATTCGGCACCGTTATCCACCTGGAGGCGTCGAAAAGGAGGTCAACGCAATACCTGACTCATCACGATTCGCCAAGATATGGAGGTTATTGGACCTTCAGTATTCTGTCTTCGCCGTCGGCAGAGAATGGGTCAAACTACAAAGATGCGCTGCCGCAAATATTCACGCGTGCAAAGGTATATTACGTGACATCCTCGAGACGGGTTAGATCAGACACGATCACCACCAGCCCAAGTACAAACACAATTCATAACTCCTGTAAGTTTCGTCATTAAAACCCCTTTATCACTTATTGTTGCCGCTATGGGACCGCCTGAAACTGTCGACATGGTCGAAGTTTAGGAGAGCATTATTCCCTCATAGCTAAGAAAAAAGATCCTTTGTACATACAATAGTTCAATTCGCTTAGATATCCAGAGGTCACCAGAACACCTGTAAGCCCCCCAATGAACTGGCTTATTCTTCCAGTAGCTGACGTATCTGAAGAAATGTTCGCCAAAATTCAGAAGTGGGTTTTCGAATAAAAAGGGATTATTAAGGTGGAATTATAATAGCGATTATCATGTGGCATAATTCCAAAATATTTCAAGCTTATCCGGATTTCATCTTTTTAATACAGTTTTCTTCAGATAAACTGCAAATATCATACTCAATAGAAAATGACCACTTAGGAGTTGTGCACTTTTTTCATGTCAAGTTCTGCATGTACATTTAAATTCAGAGATGTTTTAAAGAGCACATAGACAAAATATGTTTTTGTATTTATTCGGTAGCAGTTGACAGTTTGAAAATTTAATACATTTAATTTAACCAAAAGTTTTCTTCGGTTTTACAAACTTTTTTTCCGATTTCTGAATACTTTTGTATCGGACATACTGTCAGTTTTGTGTTAAGGGTTTCCAAACTACATGCTGTATACTACCTACTACTACATTTACCTGTGTTATTAAGAAAATACTATATAGGGGCCCCAAAGTTGTAGAATGGGTATATAAAATGTTGCACACTTCATAAGAGGCATAAATAAACGAGGTGCACAATGTACAGTCTTAATAATACTAAAAAGAAGGGCAAACAACTTTGTTAAACCCAAAGATACCCTTTTTTTCGAAGATAAGATTTTAGAGAGACGTAAGCTACTAGCAAATAAGTGAATAAAAGAGCGTTTGATAAGGATTCAGTATGTAGCCGGGTGGGTTAAAAGTGTAAGACTTTATACTACATTTTTAAGTAGATGTTATTCAGTTAAGTCTCTCTTGGGTTAGGATTAGGGGTGGGGTTGAAGTTAAGACTTCGCTTGCAATTAAAGCTAGATTCCCGCGTTCTAAGGCTCTACCTGTACAAACCCTAGTATCACCATTCTCTTAAGACACATTCCACGGGCTATCTGTTGTTGATCCTGGCTATATCCTTTCCGATAGTTTTGTGTATGATTTCTCTTATCGACCTCTTCCATTCACACGGCTCATTTGTTTGAAAAGACGAGCATGTGTTAACTTGTACCTCGTTCACTGTACCGGCCCAATTATAATTTATCGAAGGCTTGTATACGCTCGCCAACCACATTTCTGAAATAGATTATAATTTACAAGGGCATTAAAAACGGTGGGTTAGCTTCATACAGAGTACATTATCATTTTGTATCAACTGTGCTTTTTACAGACGGTCTGGACTTAATATGGGGCGTTAGAACAAATTTGAAGAAAAAGAACCTTCGTTGAGACCCATGGCCGACTTTTCTATGTCCGAATGCGTCGGCGACACGCTTAACGGGTAACAGTTTGAGCCATATGACGTAGTACTATGCTTTTGTTCAATGGCCAAGATTAAATAATTCCCGGCGAGAGAAAACGAAGAAGTTCAGGGCTTACGTGAGTCACAGCCATGTGAACACCAGCTGGGAGGTTTCGTTGTATGTATTCAAGGAAAACGCTGGCAGTACATCCCGTTACATGCGGTATCTATAGAGGGTGATGCGTATGCAAATAGAGATGAAGCTCACTATGAAATGCTTCACATAAGTGCGAAACTCGTATTGACGCTGATGTTTCTTGTAGATAAAGGGGGACTTGTTAAGCGACAGACGATCAAATATGGGCGAATTTCTGGTCTCGCTAAAAAGATAAAACGGGTGGTTCGTAAGTGAGACGACAGGCTTACACATTGCAGGTCAGGTCCAGATGGCCGCAAACCTTTCGCACAAATAGCTCATAGCTGCGTAGCACCTCTGGTTCATGGCTCTTTACCTCTATGTTAACTTTCTTGAACAGAACATCGGGTTCCTCAAGTTCCTGCCCCTAGAAAAGCAAATTTAGAAAGCAAGCAAGCTTACATCGATTTTGGCGACTGACGAGAGACTGCGGTAGGGGCTAGTCAACGCGGAAAGAAGAGTAGCTGGTAGGTTCGGTGTGAATCGGTTCAACGAAGTAGAAACTAATCTGAGTGTAGCCTCTAAAACGGACTGCATGACTAAAAATAGAAGACAAGCAAAATGATAGTATTCCACAAATTGCAAAGCTCTTAACTGTAATGGCATTCGGTATAAACAGCCCTGTATATCACATGTTTTATTTACCGTCGGCCGACCTAAAACGTACCCAAAGGGGGATTCGAACAAAGTAGCCTTTGAGCAAACTGAGGGTAGTAATACTGATTCACCCTAATCATGAGTGCAATATGTATTTGATCACGTGATTCGAAGTGTCCTGGATGGTTTCAAGGAAAGGAGTAATGGAGGCTACGAATGTTCAGCTTTACGAACAATCATACGCCTAGAGTACACAACTTTCCAAACTGGAGTCGGATGTACTGATCAGGCCTTGACTAGCGGGTTGACGTGAAAGCCTGGGCTGGACTCAGGTGCTTTGTATATAACTCAAACAGCCACGAGTAACTCAGGGATCAATTACGCTCGTGGAAATAGAAGCATTGACTAGACGCGACTATGACGGCATAAAAAGTGCTAGTGGAAGTAAGCAAGAATCAAAGAAATTCGCGTTACCGCCTGAGCATACGTCATAAGTCTGCGCATGACTATGACTATGTTACCATCACCTATGATTAAGGATTCCCGACTGAATCCGAAACGTCAGAAAAACAAAACTCTCGTTCCAGTGATTGCATCCTCTTCTTCTGCAATTTTTTGTAACTACGCCGGTCGGACTGAATGCATGCGCGGATGGCGCATAAACGAACATAACATAGCCGTGAGATGGGCAGACAAATTAGCGAAAGTGGCTGCTGACACCTATAAAAATGCTTATTAGTTCAACTTCACAGCCACATAGATAATCGCCCATGTCAGATGCAGGACAAGCCGAAAATTGTTTGAAGCCTAAACCTCGAATGAAGGCTCAGCCAATCGATGTATCGATCTGGTGCCAGCATACAGAATCCTGAGTAGTTACCCCCAGACCTGTGTCAATGACGGCTGATTGACTATTACCTCTAAC